CTTATTCAGCTTCTTTGTCACACTTGGTCTTAAACTGTCACAGTATTTGAGCCACAATTTGAAATAATTGATTGTATGACTTTTTAAAATAAGGAATTAAAACTTATTTAATTGTTTTTAATAGTGTCAGATAAAATTCTGAAGAGGCCTTGATGAATGAAAGTGATTTCAGTGAACACGGATGCTGAAATGTATTTTTTTTTTTACGTTAGATATGATAACATGGAAACCTGACTTTGATACATTGGCTGAGTTATAGAGTGGAAATAGGTTCTTGCAATAGACTTTAATACGTTGCAGCAAATAAAAAACTGTATAAGTCATCATAATGAGCTAATTTACATTAGATCAGTGTGCATCAGTGAGCATTTTGGAATTTGAATGGAGTTTACACTGTAGGCCTATACGGCTGCACAGTTATAAATAGAATTGGATTCAGTGGGCCTCCACAGATTTGAATGTATTAACTAACTCCAAATAACTCATTAACTGTATGTGCCATCATAATTAGCTTATACACATTGGCTCAGTGTGCAACACTAAAGGTTTTGGAATTTGAATGGAACTTGTGCTGTAGACAGGTGCCAGTTAGTAAGTGTAATGGGAATGACTGAGCCTCCATAGACTTGAATTTATTATATAACAGTAATTTATAATAGCTAAGAAACTGTACATGTCATCTAACTAGCTTGGGTACAGTCAATCTGTGTGTAGTACTCAACATTTTGACATATATGGAGTTTGAGCTATATACATTAACTGAGCACTTTATTAGGAACACCATACTAATACTGGGCAGGGCCTCCCTTTGCTCTCAAACACCTTCAGTTCTCAGTCCTTCCACAAGAAGTTGGAAACATTTCTTCTTGAGATTCTGCTCCTTGTTGATGTGATGTCATCACATCATGTCTGCAGATTTGTCAACTGCACATTCATGCCGCTGCCCTCTTGTTCTACCACATTCCCAAGGTGTTCTACTGGATTCAGACCTGCTGACTGGAGAGGCCACTGGGGTTCACTGAACTCACTGTCATGTTCATGAAAAGAGTTTAAGACAACTTTTGCTTTGTGACATAGTGCATCATCCTGCTGGAAGTAGCCATTAGAATATATAGAAGCCATAGAGTAGCCATTAGAAGTAAATTGTGTCCATGAAGGGATGCACATGGTCAGCAACAATACTCAGATAGGCTGTGGCACTCAAACAACGATCGACTGGTATTAAGGGACCCAAACTGCCATGCCAACATTCCCCACACCATTACACCATTACACCATCACCACCAGCCATGCTGTTGACTACAAACTCTGACCAATCCCTGAAACTCAAACTCCAATCTCTGATTGTCTGCTGGCTCAGCAGAAATCCAGATTCATCAGACCAGGCTATGTTTTTTCCAGTCTTCAACTGTCCAGTGTTGGTGAGTCTGTGTCCACTGCAGCCTCAGATTCCTGTTCTTGGCTGACAGGAGTGGAACCTGACATGGTCTCCTGGTGCTCTAGCTCATCCACCTCAAGGTTGGACGTGCTGTTCACTCTGCAGCTTTTCTGCTCACCACAGTTGTAAAGAGTGGTTGTCTGAGTTACTGTAGCCTTTCTGTCAGCTCCAACCAGTCTGGTTATTCTCTTCTGATGTTTTTGTCCACAGAGCTGCTGCTCACGGGATGTTTTGAGTTTTTGCCTCCATTCTGAATAAATACTATAAACTAGACTGTTTGTGTTTGAAAATCCCATGAGATCTGCATTTTCAGACATACTCATACCAGATCATCTGGCATCAACAATCACGCCACAGTCAAAGTCACTGACATCACATTTTTTTCCCCATTCTAATGTTTGAACATTAACTAAAGCTCCTGACCTGTATCTGCAGGACTGCTGCCACACGATTGGCTGATTAGATAAATGCTTGAAGAAGCAGGTGCACAGGTGTTCCTAATAAAGGGCTCACTGACTGTACATGCACGATGAATTATTTTATAATAATAATATTAATTATTATTATTTAATTTATTAGGAAGTAGTATATATTTTGGTATAATATCAGAAAAATAAGAGCAAAATCAGTCAATCAACCAATCAATATATTAGTCTCATCAATTCAGTAAGTTTCTTAATAATGCTGGTACAACATTTTCATCTTATTATTCTCTGAAACTGTTCGTTCATTCGACCTCATTTTTTATCAGCTTCATTTTTCCGCATGTATGTAAGCTGAAGCTTCCTAAGGACAGAAACACTGAAATTAAACATCAGCTAAAGAAGAAACACACACACACACACACACGCACACACATTTCACACACATAATCCACTGGAAAACATTAAAGGAGGATTGTCAATAGATTGTGATACCAGCTGATACTTCCTCAGTGCATCAACATGTGAGTGAATCTCATTATGCTTCATTGCACAGTGCAGCTCCTGTGCACTGCAGTGGATTTGATGGTGAAATGTGATTCCATACTGCCATCTTGTGGTGACACAGAGCAGCACGTGTTGATGCCGTGCCGGCTGTGAACATGTTACAGTATTACAAGGTTAAATGGTTTACTGATTTAAATTAGCAGTGTGACCGTTTACAGAATTAGCCAGCTATGGACATGTCACACCTTTTTACTCTGTTATACTAAAAGCAGTCATGTGGAGCTTTTAAAATGTGACAGGCTTGATGTGCAGAGACACAAATGAAACAAGTGGACAGTATGGCAGGCCTCAGGACAAAACACAAAGGTGTTATTATGGATGGCTATATAGAACTCTTTCCAGAATCCATTATCCATATCCACAAACACACACACACTTGCACCAAAATCAATTCTTTGCGTGCTTTGGAAAGGTCTCATCAATTCTGTGACAATAATCTCAATGACTTTAGACATTTGTCTGCTAGGCTAGATTGTAATTACCCGCAGCCTCTACCTCCTGCTACTGTCCATTTGATTACACCACTATTGATATTCCATGGACTGTGAGGAAAAATGATTGCACACATTATTTCACGTTCCAGTGCGACTTTCCCAGTGTGACAAATGGAGTATTGGCCTCACTCACACTGATATACTCCTGATCTGTTTTGATGCGGAGATAACTTTCCCCTCCATGCTCCTTCAAACCAGATTCAGACTTAATGTCCAGCAGGGAGAGTAACAGGCTCTGCAATATGACTCATCTTATCAGTTTACTGATGTAACTAATATTTGCCATCCAGCCATAGATTCAGCCATGATACACATACACTATGACTGTAAGAAAAAATGTCTGGGTTACTGTGAATCCCTTTGCAGCCATGGCGTTCAGTCAGTCACTCTCTCAGACTCTTGTATGCCAGTGTAAGAATGTTAGCTTTGAAGATATCTATTTTATACTCTTGACAATGGTTTGACACTGAAGTTGAGAAAAATGACATTTTTAATGCTGCAGACCATTTGAGTCAGAAGCAGTTACAGTATTTCATGATTTCTTCGGCTCAGATAAGTTAAGCTTTTGCGAAACTCTTGCTGAATTCTACCTTTTTAAAACACAAAATTACACAATGAAGGGTATTGTTGATCCAGAGAGGCAAATGCACTCACACTATACATATGCACTGCATTACTTATAATGTTGACATTTGTTTAGCTTATGTCTTCACATATTTAAATATGTGTGTAACAACTATTTGCTGCTGTTTAATCCTACACTACTGTGGCACTTAATGGAATAAGTGTAATTTTGTCTCATAAGTCCTTATTTATGTATTTATTATATAATGTATTTATTATCAGTGTTGGGAAGTTTTCTTTTGAAATAGAATAGGTTACAGATTACTAATTACCCTGTTAAAAATGTAAGAAGTAATGCAACTGTTTTAATTACGTCATCAGAGTAATATACTTCATTGCATTTGATTACTTTTCAGTACCATTAATTCGTCTGTAGATACACTGTAGAAATTGTGCAACCTAATAACTTGTACAAGTTAATATTTTCTGAAAACACAATGCTGAATTAAGTTAGTAAATGATCTTAGGTCTCACACCTGTATCTACATCTACAATCTATATCTATGAAGGTTATCTGTAGATATGCCAAAAGAAGGTTCTTGCTCAGCCGAAAGATGCAAAGCAACACAATGAATGTTATATTGTACATGAAAGCTTTTTACCGAAAATAATGATATATTTGGATGTAACCCCTTTGTAATCACCACCATTTTGATTAGTAACACTAATTTAATTTATAATCCAATTAAATGTGACTAGCTACCCTCCAACACTGATAATTATATTCTGTAGGTAGAGATAGGAATGTTAAAACATACTGTATGCATTTGTTGTCCATGAAAGACTGAATTATTCATTTATATTTCTGTAATGGATTGTTGTGGTGGCACGTACAGCACAGCCTAATGAATGCAGTGGACATAGCCTGTATATCAACACACTGCATTCATTATCAACACCGTATGTCAATCAGATCAAAAACACAAACATCTGCAAAATTTGTTTGTTTTTCACCATCTCAATAAGAAGAAATGTAGTTCATATTCATACTTGTTGGTAATGAAGTCACTTAAAAATTCAACTACTTTTTTTTTCCCACTTGGAACCACCAGAGAGCAAAGTGGTCTAGTACATCTTTGAAGGAATGCATATTACACAACCACAATACATACTTGTGTGTGTGTGTGTGTGTGTGTGTGTGTGTGTGTGTGTGTGTGTACTTTATGATGATCTCTGATCATCTCCTCACTCCATATTCTGCTCACTCAGAGTTAATGGTGCTGCAGGGAATTAAAACTCACATTCTACTCCACTCCCACTGGGACACTGCTGCCCGAACATCTGCAACACACTAACACACACATTTGCATGTCTGCGGGAAACTGCTCTAATCTGCTGTACCCCTAATTTAAATTTTGGACACCACATGTTCAAGTTGCTTTCTTGAATTATGATGTGATTTTAAGAAACTAATGTTACATCCCCAATAAGTGAACGTGACACTTTAAACCTCTTTTTATTGCTATCATTCATATTCATACACCAAATAAACATGCATAGTGTTAATATTTATTTACAACAGGTTAAGCAAACTGATACCTATATTAACATGGTATTACAGTATATAAATACATATCACATGAAGATGTCCAAGGAACTGTGAGGTTGGTAGCCAACGTCACCTTGAGGCATTATTTTACACGTCTCACAACAAGAAAAGAAAGGGCAGTCCAATGTAGTAGCCATCTTCCCCTATTTTCTGTTGCCCAAAAAGTTGCTGAAAAGTTGCTTCAAATATGTCCTGGCAATGTTGCCCCTAATGTTCTGTTTTGTAACTTTCTTTCGGTAATGTTCGCACCTTCCTTGGGTATTCATAGCCATCCAAAATACTGTCCATTCAGAGCAAACCAGCCCTGATAATGTAGTTGTGACCATGGAGCCATAGGACAATTGATACTGTCCAGACTTGTGTATGGATCAACTTTACCACCGGGTGGAAAAAATGTTCTATTTGCATCCACACTGACAGAAAGCTTTAGTGGTTTCTCTTGTAGTTCTTTGGCTCCATAATGGCATTCATTTCTTGAACTATATACTGAGGAGATAACTATCAAAACTACAACCGTGGTGCTATATTGTATAAAACCTGACAGTCTGTGTTTTATCACACTGACCTTTTCAATGGGTCACTGCTCACTGACATCCACTGAGCAGGCGCAGCTCAGTCAGTGGCAAATACACTGTCACTGATCACTCATCCTTTCAGAGAATTAAGTTCAAATAACTGAAAATGAGAACAGAAGTTTGAACATCCTGCACTGACCCCAAATCAAAGGGGATCAAAGCAATCAAAATGTTTAATTTAATCCTTTCAATAGCCTCAGCTGAGCGGTATATGATGATTCTTCTCCATCATGTTAAACCAAAACAAAATCAAACAAAGCTGAAGAAACAAAAGCACTTGATAATCATGCAGGAAGAACAGAAACTAAAGTAAATCCTACTTTTCTATAATTGGCAAGCAAAGAGAGCAGTCAAAAAGTCTGATAGTTGATGGCATATTTAAAAATAGATAAAAACATGAGAAGCAGTGCAGTAAAATATGAACATAAACAGTTTAAAAGGCAATGAAGCACAAATAGATATTAACGATTTAGCCTTGCATTATGTTCAATACGCATTGAAAGGTAGTTTCTTTAAAATGGAACTTCTGTGAATTGCATTATGGCTAAAGGGACTGTTAAATCCAGCTTCCATTTAAATTGAGTGAAAGTATGTCACAGCAATATTCAATACAGCAATAAACATGCATCTCTTTGTTCAACTGAATCCTGTTCTCCATCTGAAATATGAATTGTCATGTTCATCTGCTTATTGACTGCATGCTATTTCAGAGTTCTCCTATGAATAACGATATGATATTAACATTTGAAAATGCAATTAGAATATCCAACTAGAAGAACTGAGGGCAAACCAAGAGGATGGGTGAAATCAATAGGAATCAGTGGTTCTTTGGTTCACGTTACTGGTAGCAAACATACTGAATCACCTGAACTTGAACACTTGACACTCACAAAGCAGAAAATGACAATATCTTAAAAAACTGAGAAAGGGAGTGATATCTCAACTGGAGCACATCCAGGCATTTTACCGTTTGTTGACATCCTGTTGAAATAGTTTGGCTATTTCATTTATATTCATTCTTTCTACAATATCTAACACATCTAATTCTGCCTACTACTTTTGTTACAAAAGGACAGTGAGAAACACTACCTGCAGCCCATAAATAAAAGAAGTACTACATATTCTCTATTTCACTATAATATGGTAGCCTACATGACTGCTCAGGTGTTGCTCTGCTATATCTTCACATCTATTGTACCTACCCAGTTTGTATGGAACCACAAAGTGTTCAATAATACTTTTTATTTCATAATGTAATTCTTTAATGACAGTGTTGTTTTCACCAATCACCACCCCCTCACAGTTCAGCCAGTCAGATGCAAAAGTCTGTGTCTCTCTCTTAGGGATATTTAAAATCACAAACCTGCTGAGGCACCTTCTACTTAGCCAATTAGCTGCTGTTGCTAATACTGGCGCTTCATAATCCCAAGTACATAATCCAAGCTCACAATTTGTAGTGTTAGCTGGCTATCTTAATGTAGCCTTGTTGAACTAAATAGAGAGAAAGAAAGTTAGTTATTACTTATTACACTGAAAATGTAGCATTTTGAATTAATTATTATTTTAGCACTTCTGGTTCCCTCATCCTGAAGTCTATCGGGTTTTGAATGGGATTTTGGTTAGATGGCTGAAATAAGGTTTGTGGTTAATGCAAACTCAGTACATTTTCATGTGTTCTTCTTTGACATCAAATATGTAAGTGAATATCTCATGACTGATATCTTTAAGCTTTTACATTTGTTAATTAAGGGTGGTTGCTAACAAGTAGCTAAATGAGACTACATAGGTTGTCATGGACATTAAATGTCATCATGCTGTACACGAAAACCGATCTACTCACCAGTCCACCTTTACAGGCTCATTGTGTTGCTACTCATGCTTTTGCAAACTATTAATAACAAAGTCTTTTTTAGAGAAGGTAAGAGTTAAATCAAACTACAGGTTAGAAGTTAAGTGGTAGTGATGTTTAAGTCACGTGACCGTGGTGTAGTTCGTTTATAGCCTAAAATTTGGTTTTTACCTCTGAAATTGTATTTAGGCTTCAAAAATAATAGAAGTTTTGTTCATTTGTCAAGATTATTATGCTGAACAAAACATTTAAGTATCATAAACTTTGTCACAGAGCTTATTTTCTGCATTAATCCAAAAGCTGATATAATGTAATGCCCCTTTTTGTTCAGGAAACCAGGATGATGCTAACTAAGGCACTCTGTGATAAATAGCTCTATTTATTAACATGATGCATTATGTATTTATAGCATGTTGAACACTGTGTAGTTCCATTAGTTAGGTGGGCAAGTTCCCTGCCTTAGGGAACAGCAGAGCAGATTTGTGTGATGACAAGTGCCATAAGACTGTTCATGGTGGCTAGATTTCCAGAGTATGACTGAGGGTATCAAAGGCCACTACATTTATAGTGTCAATGAAAAAAATAAATCCAGGCAAAGAGAGACAGTATTTCTCTCTGAATTAAAAATAACTCACAGAAGGACAGAGAAGAAAGGGAGATTTCAACAGTGAGGAGAAATGATCGTCCTTGGGAGACTGGTTTATGGTTATTAATACACTCTCTTGTTGAGTTATTTTTCGACCTCCCTAGTTTCTCTTTTTCACACTTCTTCTGCAATCTGTTATTTTTCACTTTAAATGTTGTTTCTGCAGGCAGAAATGGAAAATAAAGTTGTAAAGCATCAATGATCAATCTATCACAACAGGCATTTACCCTCGCTCGACAGTGCTAGCAAATTCTGTCATAAAACCTTGAATTACACCTCCATGTTCTCTGTGTCAGACATTAACAACCTGCACAATGATACTATCACAAGAAAGATGATTTTTCTTCTTTGTAAGCAAAGGTCTTTTTCATCTCAAGGTGAATCAGAATTTACCAAATCTTGCCAGTCAATGCCAGGTATGCCCACTGTTTGTAATGAAGCCAGATATATAAAATCTGAAGCAATGACTTATACATGTTATTATAAAAAATGGAGCTGTAGTCATGAGCATTATTTCTTCCCAAAAACAATCCCATAATAGTATGCTACTTTGGTCATGAATCCAAATGTAGAAATTAAACACACTCATCTCAACACATCTAAATAACACATACAGTAAAGTACACTTCTTGTCTACATACACTCTCTGTCTCACACTCTCTGGTACACATTGCACTAGAGCATATGCTAGAAGTACAGATAATATGTCCAGTAGAGCAGGTTAACCATGACAAAAGACAGGGGGAAGGTGACTCTGGAGTAGTTGTCTATGTGGTGGGGGTTCTCCACATGACAGCAGTTTATGGAGCGGAGCACTTTGCGAAGGGTGGCCAGGACAGTGAGGCACCAGTTGGTAGGCTCCGGAGGCGACGCCTCAGGCTTAGGCTCACTGCCCGAAGGGCTGGAGGGGCTGACAGTGAGTTCTGTGGAGGTAGGAGCTGGGGGAGGAGTTGCAGCAGGCTCCTTGCGCCTTTTGGCTCTGGAATGAGTGGAGATGGTGGTGACGATGCCGTTCATCTCATCGTCAAAGTCGTGCATGTGGTGGCCGTACTGCAGGGGAGTGAGGGCAATAGATCGAACAAGTTTTAAAGGGAAACAAAAACATGATGCTTCTAAATTTGAAAGCTTGACAAACCTCTTCAACTTACCTCAACGTACTCATGATGACATGCTGCTGATGATGACAGTGATGTTCATGAGATGAAGATGACAACGACCACCATCATGAAGACAATGAGTGTGACCACAACAACAGCAATGACCTCAGCAATGAACAAGACAGTATAGTCAGGAGGCTCTCACCATGATCATGTGTGAGTCGGTGTATGTGAGCGTGCAGAAGTGGGCCACAGCGTACTCGATGAGCGCTCCAAAGATAAAGCTGAAGCAAATTCCCAAGTAAACATCAATGGCCTTGATGAAGCAGTTGGCATTGGGCAGTGATGTGCGGGCCCCCATCATCAGAGTGGTCATGGTCAGCACTGTGGTTACTCCTGGCATAGAATACACACAGATACACTGGTGAACTATACTTGTATAACCAACTGAACCTGTGGACAACTCCCCCAAATCTTTGTAAGAGAAGGCTTAAGAACTCCAGTTTGAACTGTTGGTGAGCAGTCACTGTTGACTTAAATGCACTGTATGTAACTTCTGTCACTTGGGGTCTCTCACTAAAAACAAAAACAAAAGACGGTGTTGGGTGTTGTTGTTAAATAGTGTGTAATCATGGGAGTTGTCTTCACCACAATTGCCCTAAGCTTCTTCTGGTTTGGATTCCTTCAGTGTCCGTTGTTCAGGAAGTTTTAACTAGGAGCTGAATTATCCACAGAGGTCTCATTCTCTCCAAATCAAACAGACCTGGTGATTATAACCGGTAAAAACACTGAAAGCAGTTTCACATTAACAGTCAGTGATTCACTGATGCTATAAGGTAGACATGAGATGTCAGGGAAGGTTTGGGAGCTGAGACTGCAGCTAACTTTTGTTTCGATTTTTTCTCTAATAACTTATGAACTAGACATTCAGGAGGTTTTCACTGGTAGCCAAATTATCTGCAGAGGAGTCCTCCTCTCCATAATAAATGGACCAGAGGATTAAAACCGGTATAAAAATCGAATAAAGCAGTTTCACTTAAAAAAATCAGTGATTCACTGAAGCTTTTCAGCAGACACAGGACGTCTCGGAGGGGCTGGGGGCTGAGACTGCTTACCTTTGTCTGTTTGACAACTTATTAACCAGACGTTCAGGAGGTTTTTACTGGCAGTCAAATTATCCACAGAGGAGTTCTCCTCTCCATAACAAACAGACCAGGGGATTAAAACCGGTAGAAAACAGTGAATAACGGGGTTTCACATTAAAAATCAGTGATTCGCAGAGGCGGACACATAGACATCTCATTTGCCTGGCTTTTTTCGCTCGTAACTTAAGATCCAGACGTCCGATGACTAAAATCATTCATCTGGTTAAAATACATAGTTGAAAACTAGCAAGGTGTAAAAAAAAAAAAAAAAAAATGTGGCACAAAACTGGATAAAAGTACATTTTGAGCTTCTGGCAGGCAACCACAATGCAAACATATTCGCACAGAGGACATGACGTCATTGACAGGCGACCAAATGAAATGTACTGTTACCATGATTGAAATCACATATTTCTCTATTTTTGAGAATTGCTGGAAACATTTGGGATAATGTAAGTACACAACTCAAAAAAATATGACATAACTTTAAGACATCATAGAATCCCATAAACTACATCCTCGTAGAGGTCAAGCAGATAACTGTTGTCATTCTTCTGTACCCACATCTGTAACTCTGTAGCTTATCACATGTCCTCAGAAAAAATTTTAGTACTAATTTTTTTAGGAAATATGTCAATTTGCTTTCTTGCCAAGTGTTAGATAAGAAGACTGGACTGGAAGCAGCTCGACTGCCTTTCTCCAAAGTTAAAAATATGCCTACAGTTCTTGTTTGGTCAGCCTCATAGTGATGACGGTACTCCAGGATTAAATAAATGAGATGCTAAAGTTGCACATACACTCACAGTCAAGGTAAAAAAAAAAAAAAGTAGTTGTGTAGTTGTTTGTTTTGAGAACTTATATCCAACAGTCCCCCTGGAGGATTGGTAGATCTAATTCAACAGAACATCTATGTTTGGATGTTCCCACAAGATAACACTAGTGTCACACACTCTCTCTTCAACTGTCAGCCCTCTCAAATGAAACCCAAACCAACATTTGTGTTCAGAGGAGAGCAAACATGTCTTTTATCTGTGTAATAGTAAACAAATAGTGATGACTGATGAAAAAGAGAATTAGGTTGGATTCTTTCTCTTACAACAATAGTAAACAGCATCTACAGAGAGACACAATACACTGATAAGGTTTGGTGCAATATAGCAGTACGTGACATTTCAGGGGAAAAGAAAAAGTTGTTTTGCTCCATACCTATACAAATACGTGCTGGAACAGAGGACAGGGAAATCCAAAAGGAAACCCATGAGAGGACCACCAGCAGGCTTGAGGGGACGTAAGTCTCCAGTATGAAGTACAGAATGCTCCTCTTCAGCTCAAAGTGGAAGACCAGCTTGGGGTAATGGCCTTTGAGAAGAAGGACAAAGTCAGTCAATGTACTTATAGCAGATAACAGAAAACATGTGGTGTGCTTGAGAAATCCCACATAGGGGCAGTCTAACATTTAACAATATTACACTGCTGTTTAAACATTAGTCTAGCCCTGGGAATAACACTACGGAGTGGTTTCTCATCGTTTCTCAATCTTATCGTTACCAGTTTCATAGATGGCCTCTGAGACCGAGGTGTAGTGGTCCTCTACTGTGTACTGAGCCAGCTGTAGAGTGTCTAAACCACTGACAGACTCATTTCCTCTGGTCCAGTAGAACATAACATCATTAATGTTGTAACCCCCTGTAAGAACAGAAAGAGAGGAAAATAATTCTTAGTGAGATCACAGAAAATAATATAAAGTTGTATTAATCAATATTTTTATATTAACAATTGCTCATGCAAGTGTGTGTAATATGAAATTTATTAGTTTCAGTAAAAAACCCTCAGACAGTCATCACCAATTTTTTGTTCCTTTCGTGTCTACACAGTTGCTTTCAACTCACTGTTTTGATTTTACAGCAACTTTATTGTTTTGGTTCAGAGTTACGGTCCAACCCTATTTCTGACTGCAGCAGGCAGCTGTTTTCAACAAAATGTGGTTGCATGCCTCCGCCAAACAGTCCAGTTGTGCTTAATTAGCATGTGAATTCTTGAGGTGTGGCCAAAAATGTGTTTTGTGAGGCCAGAGTGACCTTCTTTGACCCTCAAATTCTAATCAGCTAATTCTTGAGTCCAAGTTCATGTTTGTATCTTATTTGAAAAAATTCCCTCAAGGCGTTCCTGAGATATCGCGTTAATGATAATGGGTCAGACGAATTGACAACCTGAAAACATAACAAAATTATAAACCCACTGTATGAACCTACCAAGAACCTAACAGAATGTGGACAAAGATAGCAACTGGTGATCAAAGTGGAGCCGTTGGAAGCTAAAGAGCCATATATATCCTATAGGATAAAACCAGGCCAGCTACAAATTACATTTAGGCTGCTGAAAACTGAACTCCAGATGAATGCTAATGTGTATATAGACAACTGTTTGTGAACATGTTCACCATAATACTTCATAAGATGATAATATGTTAACGTTATACAGTAGATAAAACTCATAGCTCATTATATTTTACACATGGGAACGGTTTGTGGCTCAGTGCGTTGTGCAACAGCAGCTTGACAGATGAGCTGTGATATCAGTTACCCTTAAATGGCCAACACACAGTGCAGATGGAAATATGACCAGCACATTACAAATTAACTAGAGAATTTCTATAATTTATAACGATGATGATGATGTTGAAATCATTTTTCATCATTTTTTTTTAAAGTAAACCCCAAAGTAACAATGGTGGGAACTACTGGGAATGTTAATTGCTAAAGTCTGATCCTCTCACCGTTGAGTTGTTTGGGATTGCAGCTCGTGGTGGGTGGTAAATTCCCTCTAATGCTAAACATCAACACAAGAGAGATATCTTGCAAGAACCAAAGGGAATGTGAAAAGACCTTTGAAAAGCTAATGTAAGACATCATGTTTCCCTAGAGAAGCAAATGGGTAAGGTCTACACAGTGCAACACTCAAAAATATATGCTGCTAAAACAACACATAAATTTGGCATAGTATGTAAGTGCAACAATCTGACTTTAAAATATGTTAATGTTTCATGCACGTAGTTATAGTCACAGTGGAAACAGGAGATTCTCCCATTATTCACTGTAACACAGTCTGACACAGAGAGATCCAACAGGAATTGCTAATGGAAATGCATTTGTGTTGTTCATTCAATTCTTCAAAGGGGGTAGCAAAAAAGAAAAAAGTCTTGATGAAGAGCTTAACTCTTGCCTCATACCATAACAGACTAATCATGCATATTGCACTGGGCCCTAGAGAGCTGAGATAACCCAAATAAAACTCAGAAAAAGAAGACATGCAAAATTAACATGGTCAAAGATACCACAGCTGAGTGTGGTAGTGCTTCGGATATAGAACAGTATAACCACAGTAGTGTCAAAAAATAATAAGAGGTGTGGTTCTAGTGATAAAATTATAAAGGACAAAAACATGTGATTAAGAAGGTGAAAGCTCCTTGGTGTATTTTCCTAAGTTATCTGCAGAGGGAGCAAGAGAATAGGAAAAGTAAGAAGTACTGTTGGCTGAAGCTGGAATACACCTCTGTAATCTGTTGTACACAAGATGCAAGTTAATTTTCCATCACTCTCCCAATTTAAACACACATGGAGCCATGTGTTATTGACCAGTATGAGACATGGTGCTAGGAGACAAGTCCCCTGATGAAGGGCAATGGTGACTGTGTTGCTGAAAGGTCCTGTAAATCCATTGTTTTCTCTCTCTTAGTAGAAGAACTCATTATTTTCCTGACCTAAAGCCCTGACATTACTGTACAAATTAAGAGACACAGATTGGTAATGACGTGCAGTGCAATAGCATGGAAAGAGTTGCATGGGGGTACATTCAACCTTCCAGTGCCCTGTGGCCTCTTGACAACAAGTAGCCACTTTCACAATCGAAGAGTTTGAATTGGGCCACCAAAAGTTAAATTAAAGCAAAGATCACAAAAGACTGTGACTATCCTCTCACCCTTTCTGCTGTCAGAGCACTCTAAATGCCCCGCACCCTCCCACAACGACACTCTCTTTAAACCTTCCTCCTGTGCAGAGGATCCACTTCTGGCACAGCATTAAAAGAAATAAATCCTTGCATATACATCTTCATAAAGAGACACAGCAAGACGGAGATAGAGATTCAAGGAGAGGAGGAAAGCAGAGAGAGACAGAGAAAACAGGAGAGAAAGAGCAGCAGGATCAGAGAGAGAGACTGTGAGAGAGGCTGGAAAAAGCAAGAGAAAGATGAAGATATTTTGCCTGGAATGATTGAAGCAGCGGAGGAAGGATCCATCATCCTCTCAGTTACCTAACTTTAACCTCCAGATGTCTTTTTGTCTGCTAAGTGGGACTGGAGCTGCCGTTATATGTTTTATTTAGCACCGAGGTCCTGGTGGGCTTCTGGCAGGGATCAGACTTAGCTTAGCCTGACTGGCTGTCATTTAATAGCATGGAACGAAAGCGAGCTGGAAAGCAAAGATGGTCGTTGAGCGAGGGAGGCTGGGGGGGGGGACTTTTGCTTCCTTCCATCCCTAGTGCTGCCAAAAAAATCCATGCTGTCATTTAATCTAATCTTGCTAATAATTTGTGTTAATTATAAACACACTGCCCCTGCATTTCCCCTTGAAAACACTGAACATATGTCCAAATTAGGCAAACCTCCTCTCATTTCAAGAAAATATCAAGAAATCAACTGAATTTTATCAAAAAAATGATTTCTGAGGCCTCCTGGTAGAGGTGTGAATTCCTATAGTAATATGAGTTTAAAGTATTTGTAAGATTAGGTGGGCTTGGGATCAAGGGATGACCGTAAAACATGGTGCCAAAGGGCTTTTGGGAAAGAAGGCTGTTATGAGAAGCATATTTGCATCATTCAAGGACTGACAGTATAATTTATCATTTCAGGAAATATACTTGATTTTTGGCTGAAAGTTAGAGGAGATCAATATCAATCAGATGTCTATGGATTAAAGTGCCCCATGAAACTTTGGTGTAAACAAACAAAAGTTAAGTGAACATACTTTTGGTTCCAATACACTCTGTGTATCTGTGATGTGTAACAAAAAAGTGTTGAGTGCACTTAATTTCTCATCAAACATTTGCAAAGGCATTTTTAAATATATTCTAAGTCTTTACATTCATGTTTTTTCCTGGTAGTTTTTTCCCTGCCTTTTGTTTATATATTGCAGAGTGTTTTTCTATGTTTACTTTGCCACTGAACGTGGTGTCTTTGTAGGAGCGGGTGGTGGTGATTGTCGCTTGAGAAGAGCTTCAACGTTTATAATGTGATAATACAGCCTCTGAGCAGTGCTATGTCTTCAGGGTAGATTGGAGGCTACAGTGAGTCGCTATCAGAAAGTGATGAGAAAGACCAGAGCGAACTGGTTAGCATGCTAAGTTAGCATACTAACTTAGCATGCTAACTGGAGACAGCTGTGGGTGAGTACAGGAATGAAGTTTGATGCTGAACTCACAACGTTTCTTCTAGACTAGTAAGTTAACAGCTGTTAATGCTAATGTTATCTATGTAGCAATAGCAAAACTTACAAATAGCTCCTTTTAAAGAAAAAAATGTTATGGTATAGATGAAACAAACAAGGTACAATGTGTTCCATTAGTGAGATTTGAGGTGTTAGTAGCTGGATTTCTCAGTTTTGGAGAAAGCCAGGCTAGACATGTACACCATGCCTTCTTTATGCTAGGCTAAACTAATGGCCTCCTGCCTCCAGCTTCATACTCAACAGACACACGTGAGAGTGGGACTGATCTTCTCACTCATCTAACACTGTGAAAGAAAGTAACTAGGCATATTTACCAAATTATTCATTCAAGTTAACAGGGGGTACACTGTACGAGTACTTTATGACAGGCAAACATAACCTTGAAACATGTCTTCATCCTTTAAATTCAACAAATGACTCTATGAGGACTTGTTTTTTGTCCACATAAGGCAGACAAGTCCCCATAATTTGACTGTGTAAACAGATTAAGGTCCCCACAACATGAGGAATACCTGAACCACACATACACACACGCACACACACACCCACACACACAGACCCCAGCAGTTTAGAAGATGAGAGACAGTGATCTGTTTGATCCTTTGGTTTGATCAAGATTCATTTGAAATCACCCACCAACACCCAGCAACCCTGCCACAGCCTTAAGCTGCAGACGTCTGATTCTCTTTATTAAGTAAGAAGTGTCCTTACAGCTCTCCAGTTGTAACGTGCAGGTCTGCTTGTCCATGGGATACTTGGTCAGATCCATGTTGCAGGCCACAGTGGTGGTAATCCTAACAAGCAGAGATGATGTTGTTATTAAAAGGGGATTCCATGAAACAGGATACCTGCACTAGATGTTATTTTTGCATCAGTGGTTGCAAATCATACCAGGCGTTCATTCAAACAAATAAAAGAGGAGATTTGTGAATCATTTTCCAGCTCTCTGGCTGCAGCTGTGCTGTTCTAAGGAATCAGCTGGATTAGGTTTTGGTTTATATGAATGTGTGTATATAGTGTATTAGGCATGAATTGAGCCTTCTATGGCACATGGAGATCTCTTTACATTGCTGTCATGTTGTAAATCTGAGCCATTATGTATAACCCCCCCCCCATGATAGTTACAAATCTGCCATTAGAACAGGAAGACTCTCTCCCATGTGACCACTTTTCCCTTTCATTGTGTAACCAGACCATGTAAAACTATGTACTGTATGCATGAAAAGAAGTTCAGCACCACTGAGCTAAAGGACTGAGTGAGTCAAGTCAAATCACCATGGACAGCTATTATACAATACATATTTGAGCTGAGGTTAAAGCATGTGGCAGACAAACAGTAGGACATGTAAATCCCATCATCACAGGCTTAAAGGAGCTGAACAAATTCATTTGCTGCATCATTTTTAACTTTTCTATCTACAGTATAACCTTTCAGCTTGGCCCAACATCTAATCAACTATGTTTCAAACACTTGACAGCTTGACAGTTGTTAAGCCCTTGCACACAGAGCGATATCTGTTGGAGAAGTCTCTATGTTGGGGGGGGGTGGCTTTGATAGACTACAACTCTTTTATCGACAGATCACATCCTACTGTACTCATACAATCCAATATCCAAGTAATAGAATTGACACAACTCCCTGCTTTGCAATCACATTATCTTGAATTCAACCCACGCTTCCTCCCTTAGCCAATTTCTTCTTCATTCCCTGGCCTACTTTTCATTGTCTTGTGGAGCAGAAAAAAACAAACAAACTCAACAACCAATAAACAAACAGTCTTGTTCGTTATCCTACCTCAGCGCGTAAAGAACAGTCCCGTTGGGGAAGATGCGGATCAGTCTGTTCTCCACCGTGATGTCATGGAGGAAGGACTTCTTGGAGTCCACGATAAAGGTGTCAGGGACCCAGAGGAGCTCCACAAGCCGCCCATCAAGACTCAGGCTCTTGTTGCCTTCAAACACCAGGCGCTCATCCGTCCAGCGCTGGCGGAGGAATATGGTGGCGGTGTAGTCCTGCAGGATTGGTCCCAAAGGTCACAACAGGGCTAATAGACTACTTTAACAAACACATCAATAATATGCTGACAGACAAGTGAGGTTTTTGCAAACAAAGCTTCTCTTTTCGCACTTGTATTTCATTAGTCAGCTTGGGGCTTTTCTTTGCATTGTTGGGTATTGATGGCGCCAGGTCCCTAAGCCCTTCTGTGCCTGAAGCAACAGTAATCCTCAGCATTGCTTCAAGTCAGCAAGTCTGCTCTGGTTTTTAGGCCACTGAACATATTTTTTGACATCCGCTCTGAAAAGTCCTGATGTAACATCATGTGTAGCTACATAATCACTTTCTGCCATTGTCTGGCAACAAGCTGTGAGTGTAATTTCCTCACCACGCATGTTCAGCAGCACAGGATTTAACCCTCTCAGTCCCAGAGGACTGCCAGTGTTCTGTCCAAGGTTTATGTGAGGCTCACATGTGAACTGACTGGTGGATCTTGCATCAATAGTCCAATTCCTTGTTAGCAAAATTTTAATCTCTGCTTTAATGTTGTCATGGAGATTCAATCTCAGAAACTTACATCCAAGGGGAATGAATGAAAAGTTCTCATAGTTTACTTTACAGTTATTTAGTAAAGGTTTTGAAGGTTTATGTTTCATTTTGTGTACTATTTTGAAGTTTTTAAATTAGAGGTGCAACATCAATAATGGGCTGTGACTGTGTGTAGTGCTTAAAGATTTGGCCCTTGTGTAGAGTATACACTGAGGGAATACTTTATTAGGTACACCTATACAATGCAATCCAGTACAACAGCCTTTGTATTCGAGCCTATAAGGAGTTCACTACTGGTGTTCACTATTGTGCTTCCGTCAGTGACTTGGTTTGACTTGAGGAAAAGTTGAGTAACAAGTGACTTTATGTGAAGGTTTCTTGTTGTGCTTGATTAATTTTGGCTTGTGTTGTTTAATGGTTATGATAAACCCTTATTTACTGTTAGTCGCAATAAAAAGCTCACACATTACACTGATAAACTGGATTACTGCTCTGTAATGAGCGAGAGACCTTCACGATTTGGTAACCCAGTAGATTACCAGCCAGTAATTACATAATAATAAGCCTATAAACTGTCTACTATACTAATATGAAATTAAAAAAGTAAAAACTAAAAAGTAATTACATGTTCATTTGTACAGTACTAAAACAAAACTGCAAATAAAAAAGTTAAATAGAGTAAAAAGTAAACCTATAATTACCCAATAATTGGTCGGTAACTTTAACCAGACTGAAAGAAGTCTGTTTTCTTAAAAACTATTCTTATGAAATTACTGTCATAACTACTGTTATATTTAGAGCTGTGAATCATCATAATAATGTAATAATTGCTTATACTAAATGAAACAAAGTAACTCAAGACGACACTTCAGCATGTCAGTGTCAGAGAACTGATACAAGATTGAGATTTTTTCATGCTAATATTTTGCAATTTCATTTCAGCAGAGTGAAAAAACTACTGTGTAATTAATATCTAATTACTGGTTTGTGATTTCTTTGATCACTCATAAATCTAATAAATGGATTTTTAAAGACAAACATTAACTCATACTTTTCATTTCAAACCCCTTTGGTTATTCAGAAAAACAAAAATCCATTTCTGAAACTAATAAGAGTCTCAGATGCAGATGAATGGAACCAGTACATCACTTTTTTTGACCTGGGTCTGATAGTAAACACAGTGACCCCTAAAATGACAGTAGGGCTGTAGGTGTGTCTTACCATGTTGATCTCTGAGATGGTGTCAATGCTGGCGATATCCAGACTCATGCCCACTGTTACAGGACCATCTAGAAACAAAGAGGAAGCATTTTAACCTGCTGCATGGGGCATCTACTCTTTACACAGTGGATTATCTCCACATTTTGAGTGTGTTTCCATGAGTGTCCATACAAACTGCACACATGACTGAGTTGTGTGACGTAACGGGACACAGTATATTGAGAAGGCATGGAGACATACTGTTGTATAATAAATCACAGTGGTGTATAATAAAAGGTTATTGGAGGATAGCATATTTAAAAATGCTAAAGACCCCACATTGCTGGCACGTCAACAGCTGCAGTCTGTCAAGTGTGAACCTCCTTGAGGGAATTAGTTCTCCCTGATTCACCATCAAAGAGGGGTAACTTTAACTTTGCCGCTCTGCTATGTTTCATCTTTCCAGTCTGATTCTCTCTCTCATCAATCTTCATTTCTCTGAGAGAGAGTAATGAGCTTGCTGTCAGAACGCAGACAGCCTGCATATCTCTGTGTTTGCCGACTGTAGTTGTGTGTAGGTACTGCATCCGAGTGCATTTACTGTATAAGCAGGTGTTTGCATATTTTCTTATGTGCCACTTTCACAAAAAGTCTCACAATTTATAAACAAAACCCTTAAAGTTGAACATTTGACTGATACTTCTTTGGGAGTATAACTTTAGAGGAATAGTTCAACATTTTGGGAAGTATGCTTGTTTGCTTTGAGGGGGAGTTAGATGATCAATATGGCTTAGCATAAAGACTGGAAAACAGAGGGGGAAATCCTCCTACCACCACCCCGAAAGCTCCCTAACACTTTGGCCTAACTCCCGGCAAGAAAGCAAATTACCCAAAATGTTGATTTATTCCTTTAAGGTCACTTGAGCTTTAGAAATAATGATCAAGTTTGAGTTGGGGTACATTCTGCTTCAAAATGCCTTGTCAGACTGCAATGAGCCAAGCTACTGGCTGTGCCTGAGGCTGTCCGGCATATGAATGGTATTGACAAGCAGTAAAATCCTGCACCTTGCACTGAAATGTTGGAAATAGTTTTACTTATTCTGTATGTGTGGCTAAAAGATGCCACAAAAAGGATGAAGGTGTTGCAAGGTTCAGTGAAGCATCTCTGGATGATTTCTGCTTTGTAAGGTCCATGGAGGTTCTCACAGTGCTATGTAATGATGCAGATACGTGTGTGTGTTTGTGTTCACCAGTGCTTTTACCATCGGTTTGTGCCAAACCTGTGTTCCTAGGCAGCAGGACTAGTGATTCGCCTTGGTAAAGTTCAGAGCGTTATTACAGATCAAACAGCGAGTAAACAAACCATAATCACATTGTGACGGATTCCCAGAGCTTGGAACAATAGCAGTGATGAGGGATTTGCAGGGAATGATATAACACTGTTCCTCTGAAAGTGAACACTTAGATCGACTTGTTTCTTTATGGCATGCAAATCAGTCGGCTGGTGAAAAGTGAAAAATATTTGCAGCTCTCATCTTAGTTAAACTACTGACAACATTATATTTTTAGATTTAATAATGTCAAAATGTTGTATTAATAAAGTATGCACATATACTTATTTACAGGGCTCATATCAGTGTTGATGCTTGTTTTCTTCTCCACATATTTCCTTGTTATGATTTCATTACACCAAAAGTAATTACAGTCAAACCAATTTCAAAGATAAATCTGACTTGATCTCATATTATAATATAAATATGCAGTAAATTCAAATATATGTACGTCAGCCTGTATGACTCAGAGGGGACATGCAAGCACAAAATTGCAATATGAACCCCTCTCTGTCAAACACACATTTCCCCTGAGTGTTCTGTCATTTACGTGGCTGCATGTGTCTCCAGTTTCCTTACTGTCAAAGAAAGGCCTAAGGTACTTGTTGTATCCTTTCATCAGCCTCTGAATGGTAGGCGGCAGGATCTCTCCTTCCTTCACTTCTGCGTTGAGCAGCGAGCTCTCTAACAACCTGAGAACAAAGACGGAGAAAGGAAGAAAGAGAGCGAGAGAAAGGCAGAAATAAGAATTATTTCTTTCTCGTCGTGCATTTACCTGGTAGATTCCTCCACACAACCGCCTCCCCTATTCACAGAATCTGCAGGCCGTCAATTGGGTTCTACAGCAAATCTTTCAAACTGTGCTAAGCCAAAGCAAAGGCAGAAGATTAAAATGGCAACTTGGAACAGAAAAACGTAAAGAAATAGAAGAAAAGACCAAAAAAATTGCTTTGCTTCTTTTAATTATTAGATTACCTTGAATTGACTGGTTGCAGGATGTTTTAAACCATCCATCTCTGTTTCTCCTTTCACTCACGCATTTAAAATTGCTGTTTGCTTTCATGAGATTTCTTTTCTCCCGTTCTTTCTGAATGCTATCCTTAAAGGCACACTGAAGTGTGGGAAGATGATTATATTGCTGGCAATTGCGGCAGGGGAAAAAAGAATACTCATTGCGCCTTCCCCAATGGTGTGTGTGTGTGTGTGTGTGTGTGTGTGTGTTTGCGTATAAATCAGACTCTAAATACAGAACGCCAGCTCTGTAGAGAGAAAGCCCCAAGGCACGTGCTATGATGTAAGAGGGGCTGAAGCAAGACAGATCAGACCATGTGCAGAGGCAGAAAACATTCATCTCCATACACTGGCAGCATTTCAGACCCCCCTTCTCTGTCACTTGAGCGCTGCTGTAGTCAAATGTATGACAAAGAGACAAAGAACATAGAAGCGAGATGAGCTTTTTTTAATACAAACTATCAGCAAATATCCGTATTGTCCAGTGCTGCGGTGAAGATGTTTTGAAACATCAACAAATTAATTTTGATACCTCGGTGTAATTGCTGTAAACATATTAACTGACCCAAATAATTAGTTTCAATCTGATGCCAGTGTTACTGTTCACGAATCACAATGGTGTCCTCCATAAACCCTGTTGCCTTCTGTCAAAATGATACATGCTGCATTTTGGTAAAACAACATCCTCCTTCTGTTGTGTTTCATAAAACGATTTCTGTTTACTCCATGAAACAATCCAGCTCTTCTGCTACCTCTGACCCTGTGGGACACATGGCTTCTTCTTCCTGGTGATGACCTTGTTTGTACATGTTAATTATAGTACATCTCTAGATGAATGTAATGATTTATGGATGATAAAATGCTACATGGAACCCATTATATCTTGGCTCGCTGTAGGCAGACACAGCCATTGCACTTCATGGAATGAAATTAGAGTCTAAAAAATTACAGATATGCTAACAGCTCAGTGTTGCTGTGCTAAAGCAACAACTCTTTCAGTTAAAGCTAATGTTAGCATGGCGACATGCTCGCAATAACAATGTTAGCATGCACAAAACACAAAGTGCAGCAGAGGCTGACCCCGGGAACACACTGCCTGTGTTTGCATGCGTGTGGTGGCTGCGTCGCTGCTACTGCCAGCTTTATCATTCTGCATAGTTTGCCTTGGATAATAGTCATCAGGAGGCTTTTTGACAGATAATGTCACTAAATGGTGGACAGACCAACCAACACTTCCCTCCCTATACCCCTGACACTAGCATGGCTAGAAAGTGTGATTTGACTAAAGTGAATAAAGAGGTGTTATCAACTATCATTTTTCACTTACATTCAGTTTTTGGCAACATGCTGCCTGAACCAGTTTTATTTCTAACATTTGAGCTGCTTTGAGCTTTGAGTGATCAAAATCTGACTGATTCACTGCTCATGATTGACTACGAAAGACGATAGCGAAATGGAGAAAGCTCCAAAGTTGTGCAGATTTTCTGCATTAAATCACTTCTCAGTGAGTCCACATGTCTCTTTGAAAGAACTACTCATTCTTTCCATTCTCCCCTCATGAGAGAACAGACTGTTCTACTGGTGGATCCACCACATGACCTGAGAGCTGAACATCTGGACCAGAAAGGCTTCTCCAAGAAAGAAAAGCAGAGAGCAAGACCTCCCCATGAAACTCAGAACTGGTTTCACCTGACTGTGTCGAAATCAGCTTAGACAGTGGGGTAGCTTGCTCCCAGCACACTGTTGCTATGCTGCATGAAGTCTCACTCACATGGCTTGCAGCCTGTTGTTTAAGCAGCCAACAGCCTTGGATGGGAAAGCCATGTTAGTGACAGAAGTGACAGCACTGTGCCTCTGGCATACTGCATTATCAATCTGGGTCGCCCAGTGTGACCCGCGCTACCTTCACAAATGCTTTTGCATCTCTTTGAAGGGAGATGGTGCATAGCATCACTGCCGTGATATAGATGAGGAGAGCTGCCAGTAACGTAAAAATAAAATATGTTAGAAATGGAAATGTGTTGAAGACACAGAAAATTTAATGGTTGAAGAAAATATTTTTAAATTATAAAAAAAAGACTACAATTCAAGGCAAATGCAGAAAACATATAACTGCAGGTGCCATAATGTATATCATGGAAGTGATTTACTATCATATAGCACTTACTGATAGCAACAGAACTATTTGTCTTTGATGTTCACAGATATCTTACAGCCTGACAATAAAACCCTGCTTCCTTGACCAGAATCTGTGCTAAGAGCCCTCAGCTTCTCTCGCCCCATCCATCTCTGTAATTCCCCAGACTCTCTATCGTTTGGCTGTCTAAACCTTCACCTGCAGACGGGGATGAGACCTCAGTTCTCCAACCTGCCAAACAGTTGCTATCCACTGAGCCCTGACAATAAAAAAAAAAAGAAAGATCCTGAGAATGCTCCAAGAATCACACAGGCTGCTAATATAAACAACTTATCTTTGTTTTTTTATCTGCAAAGAGGCATGATCATGAAGACAAGAGGATATTTATGCTGTGTGCCGCAGTGGCAACCACACACTGTAGCACACACATCCGCATGCACGCATAAACACACACAAACAAACATCACTCATGTTTATGTCCTGTAGGGCCCCTCTCTATTCAGATGAAAGCACCGTCTGCGGGATGCACATTTTCTCAGAAAGCTTGCTGACAGACCTGACACACCTGCCCACCCGGGTGCCTATCAAGAATAACAAGATGACACCCTGAATGCCCACAACTGAGCTGAGGAGGGCCTCCGCCGTACTATGTCACAAGCTGTTGTTTGGCTTCAACACAATTGCAAAATCATTTGTTGGGTCGTGCATTAGCTGCTATGGAGATCCATGAGCATTATGGCATTTTCAGAGCAGAACATTTGAAAGTTCACTAGTAGTAAAAATGTCAGAGCAGAGGAAAACAAATCAATGATGATGTGGTTTAGTATGATAATGTAGAGGTGAGATGGTTCAGTAGCACTGTGACCT